GGAAAAGATGGAACACGTCCAGGCCAAACGTGCTCTGGGCTTTCTTGCTCGCTTTGCTCCGGTGTTTAGTTTGAAAGTTGTGTTGAGACTCCTCCCCATTTTAAGCCGTAAACCCTGAACCCTGAACCCTGAACCCTAAACCAAAACCCTCAACCCCCCCCACCCCCCCGCCCCTTCCATGTCCTTCCATGGGAATTTGAGGCCATCGCAGCTGAGCGTGATGCTGCGCAGAGCGAAGCCCGGCGACTCACCGAACAGATGGGCAGCTCCAAGGCCCCATAGACCCTAAACCCGAAACCCTAAACCCTAAACCCTACTCCCTAAACCCTAAACCCTAAACCCTACTCCCTAAACCCTAAACCCTAAACCCTAAACCCTAGCCCCTAACCCTAAACCCCAATCCCTAAACCCTAAACCCAGACACTTTGCATCCCTGCGGTGTGGCTGCGAGGCTGCTAGGCAGGTGTCAAAAAAAAACTCTACACCCAAAGCCCGGTGGCAAAAGAATCCTAAACCCTCATAACCCCCCTTATAGGCTATCATGGGCTATCAGATGGGGCCTCTGAGATGAACTTACCAGGTAGCAATGAAGACCTGGTAGCCAGGTAGCATGTACACGCCTGAGTATGCAGTTGCTTTGACGCGCAGGCGACGGCGTAGGATGATACCATTGGTCAAAACATGTCTCAAGACAGTTTGCCTACGATGTTCCTTTCTGTTAGCAGGAAGATCTCATGGAGAAGCAGGAAGCAATCGCTGCCATCATTCGTACCTTGCCAGCACATCCCAACCTTGTGCACTTGCCAGTCATCAAGCTCACCCCAGGATCCGAGATGCAATCCTGGGAAGACAAGCTCCAAAAAGCAGACGAGTCCGAGAGGTGCTCGAAATGCGCTAGACTCGACGAAGTGTGCAAACGGCTTTAGGTGATATCCAGGGTGTGTCAGGCCATGCCCATGTAGAGTCTACACATGTCTACACGAGTGACACACTGATGCAACTGGTTTGCCTGGCCAGGGTGTTGAAGAAGTCCTTCGAGGACATGGGCGTGCAGAACTTACTAGCATCCACAGATCATCCACATGCTTGCACACGGGTTTCCGCCGTCGGGCACAAGCAGATGCACAGTCATAAGTTTCGGTTGGTAATTAAGGCTGCAGACGAGCCTTCTGCATTCCCAGCTCACTCGCCAAGGTGAGCATGCAGGATATGATGGCAATGATTACGAAAGGCGGTGGATTTGGTGGTAAAGACATTTGCCATTTCGTCAACCTGTGTCACTTGGGTATAGCTTGGCCAACTCTGTCAGCCGGTTTCACCAGGTCGTTTGGGACGTGCCTTTCCCGTGCGTGCAGCTTGTGACTAAGGTGAAGATGCGCATGATGATGGCTTAATCTACCTCATCCCAGAAGGCACCACGAAGGTCAAGAAATATGAAGATGATGATGAGGATATGCTGCAGTGCCTATTGCAAGCGGCAACAACAAATCAGCAGCAACCACCTCGGCCTAGCGGTCTCAGCCATAACAACTTTCTTCGTTTTGCCGACTAGCCCACATTCTTTCCGCGGCTTGTGCTTCGGCAGACTGGCAGGAAGTGTGCATCAAGTTGGATGGCGACAGCATACGCCCAGTGCATGCTGTTCTTGAGTCTCTACAATCCACGGGACCGATGCTGAGAGTTTCCTTGTGCTCATGATTGACAACATCAAAGCTTTGCAGCAGCGCTGGCTGCAAGCTTGTGTCGTTAAGCCGCTTTGGAGCCTCGGCTGTAAGGAGTTACGATCAGATCCGCCGCTGATGATGCAGTCCTTTGGGCCAGCTTGGCATGCATTAACGGCAAGAGTTGCTTGAAATGGTCCAGTCCATTCCTTGAGAATGTTCAGCTACTACGGCATAGTCAGGTCAATGGCCAAGCGGTCGAATTCGGCGCGGGTAGTGTGCCAGGGCATGAAATTTCTTAAGCCTGATCAGATTTGTACCCCTGCGCTGTGAGAAGCAAGCAGCAGATTCTGCGAAGCCGTGTACTGTGGCTTGTGACTTGCCGCAGCCAGCGATTTCTCAATGCTGGGTATGTGCAGTCGCGAAGGTGCGATTGGAGCACGGTGCCCGCGTCATTTTCGGCAGTGACTTCGTATTTAGGCGGGCCCGCTCCTGTGCTCTGTCGCTTGAGCGTTGCGCAGCCTACCCGAGATTAGCCTCGGATTTCGATTTGACAGTTTCGAAGGTTCGTGGACCCAAAAGGGAAAAAGGCCAAGAAGGTGTCTGCTGCGGCAACCGGCGGCTTTGATGATAAGGGCGTGATTGACTGGCACTACGCTATGGCTGAGCTGTCTCGCAAGAATGGGGTCCTGCTCTCAGAGAGCGAAGCTTTTGGAACGCGTGCTGCAGCATCTACGTGAAGTTTTTGCGTGAGCCTTTTGTGGCAGGTGGATGCCGAAGAAGAGATCCGCAAAGCAAGAGAGAAGTTCAATGATGAGATGGCAGAAAAAGAGGCCGGGCCATGTCGGTGCCTTCCCATTGATGCATGAGCCACAAGCCCCGTCTTTCGGAGAAGTAGCTGCAGGCGAAACTGGCCGAGGAGCAGAAGATGCTTGAGGACAGGCATCGCAGCTGGAGGTATGTTTGGCTTTGTGAGTTCGCTTGGCCAGTCCCTTCTGTGGATGGACAAAATCTTGCACCGCTTTTCAGACACGTCTTTTTGTGCTCCCCGTGCCCCCTTTTTAACATTGGCAGCGAAAAGCTGGCGACCGGACTTGCTCCAATGGTCGAAATCTTGCACCGCTCAAATAGTCCCGGCCACCAATGTTAAGCAGGGGGCGCGGGGCTTGATGCCTCAATCGTCTGAAGTACGCATGTACAGGTGGTGCAAGATTTCGTCCATCCACCGAAGGGCAGAAGTGTTTTTGCATAAGCTGATAGTGCGTACCCATTCTTTTCTGCGGTGCCTGGACTCGGGACACGACACAGCATTCCATCTACACTCAACAAGTCAATGCTGCCAAAACGCTGGAAAATCTAGCATTTTGCTGTTCTGGACATTAAGAAGCTAGAAAAGAACTGTATTTCCTATAAAAGCAACAAATGCATGCAAAATGACAGTCAACACTCAGTCAACACTACAGTCAACACTACAGTCAACACTACAGTCAACACTGCCAAAATGCTGGAAAAACCAGCATTTTGCTGTTCTGGACATTAAGAAGCTAAAAAAACTTGTATTTTCCTTTAAAACGAGAGAATTGTGGAACCTGCTGGTTTTCCCAGGGTTTTCGTAGTGTTGACTGTAGTGTTGACTGTAGTGTTGACTGAGTGTTGACTGAGTGTTGACTGCCATTTTGCACGTATTTGAAGCGCCTTGGGAGTGCAAAATGGCACCCCAGCAAAGTTAAAGTCATTGAAGCCAGAGAAACGATTCAGCCACGGCTAGTCACTCATCCTCGTAGAACATACCCGGCAACATTCGCCGAAAGGGACTGTTGCTACACAGCTGGCAAGTTGGCAGTAGCAGTGCCAGCACTGAGCGGGACAGGACAAGATGGAACTGGAACGATCACAGATATTCGGCAGCAAATTCAGACTTTGACGTGATTGCATGCAGGTTACGGGCACGGCAGGTGCTAGGCTACAGTCTGCAAACTTGGGCAGCCGAGATACGAAAAGCAGATCGAAGAGCTAAAAAAGGGGGCAAGAGCATCGGATCCGGAGAAGCTTAAGGAGGACAGGCCAAAGTGTATAAGTTTCATGGCATGGGGAGCAGCCTCGGGCTTTGATGCAGATGTCTTGGTTGCCAGTGGCTTGCACAGAGGAGCAACTACAAACACAGCTGACGCTTCAGAAGCTCCGGCCTCAGAAAGAGTCAATTGCAGACGGCTGAAGCGACAGGCACGCCATGAGACGAGTGATGTGAACCCAGCGCTGGCCCAACACACACGGGTTTTATGCCTCAAGCCGGGCTTAGAGCTCAGGTTCAAAAGCAAGCTGGACATGCAGCGATCCCGAGCCCAGTGGGTTCGCGCTGCCTTCACTGCTGGCAAGGCACACTCCGTGCTTACCAGCGGAGCTCAGCATTCAGAAGTGTGCTTCCAAGGATTCCCGATTTGAGCTGGACATTCGCTTTTCACGGCAACAGATGGCGGAGCTCCAACCTCGACTGGTGGAGGTGGGAATCGTTGTGGACTGTTTGCTCGTGTGTGTGTGTGTGTGTGTGCCGAACATGTCTGAACCATCCTTGTCAAGGCAAACCGGATTGCGGCGAGTCTCGGCGTGCAGCGCCTAGGTGGCAAGAATTATACGGGCAGCTGGCAGAAGACCCCTGTGCCATGCGCCTGCAATGGCCTGCATATGCAAACCGCTACTATAATTACCGTGTAGGAAGAGCGTGCGCTTTCGAGGTATGCCTTCCATTTCATTGATGCCATCGACCCGAGGCGTAATCTGCAGAAGTGTCCCCAGTGTGGAGTGCATGGCTTTGACAACCCGCTTCGGTGAATGCCCCCGCCCAATTTCTGACATGGCTGTGGTTCGTCTTTGATCAGGGCACGGAGGCAAGACGCCAACGTGGAGGAGAAGATGGTTGAGGATTCCAAGCGACTGCTGCTTCAAGTTAAGGCACGGCTCACGTCACTCACGGCAGTCTCCAGGTCTGCGCGGTTGTAGTGCCGGTCGACAAGTTGTTCTGAACTTGTATATTTTGGGTCGGTACAAAGTAGAAGCATCGATTCGGAGGAGGTCGTGCAAAGTAATCCAACCCGTTTTTGAAAGGCAGCGGACACTTTCCCAAGCCGGCGGCAGCGCCCATGTCCTCCGGCCATTTTTTTTACACCCACCCAGCCTGCAAATCCGTCCTCCGGTCCCAGTTTACCCATACGCAATTTTGCAGCTTCACAAGCTGCCAGTACGCCATGCGCTTTGGAGTAGCTTGTCCGGCCGCCAATGCGCAACAGGCACCTCTGCTCCACGGCGCACCAAATCCACTCGCACATAAGCTGTGACAATGGTGCTGAGAATGCTCTGCATCATCATCATCATCATCATCAAAACGACCTGACCCCATTCCAGTTCAATCGGGATGTCGTGACAGGTTGAGAATTCCAAGAACCAGAAGCTCCAGCTGTGGTCCTTGCAGCCTTTTGGCAGCAGTCGCTTGCGCGCTGAGCAGTGTTTGCACATTGCACCCGCGCACCTTAGGAAGTTTCGTGATCGTTTTGTGAAGATGTTGGCGTATGCGAACAAACAGCCTGCTCAACGGGCAGCTGACGAGGAGCGGTGCTCGAACAACCGTCAGCAGTGTGACCGTATGAGTAGTTTCAGCACTCATACCATTGTCCAGAATATGAATACTTCATACTTTAGCTACAGGTCACTAGTCATGCCGCGACCGGTTCTTTCTACAGGAGACTGCCATCTTCTGGGATGACTTCGAGCAGCTCGGTGGAAGCTATGTTGCAGCGCTTCGCAAATGATTGACACCAGAGCCTCTTGTATTGCTACACCGTCCTTCTACGAGTGGGCTCTTTCATCGCCATTGTGCACCAAGAACCATGTCCGATCATATCCGCAAACTTGACTTTGAAGTATGTCATTTTGCAACTTTTCTCTTCCCTCCAAACGTGACTCTCAGAGAGATGGCAAATGCATTACGGCTGAAGACTTGTCTGTGCCAGCATGTGAGGAGGTCATCCGAACGCAGGCTGAGGGCGGCGGCGATGTGCCGGGAATTCTTCAATTCTTCAGTTTTAAAATGCACATGTTCTAGGTGCCTCCAAAAAAAGTCCAGGACCTCGAGGACTTCAAAGACAAACGCACACACACACACACAGAGAAAGGATAAAGTTTCCAGATCCAGGTGCATGGCTGCCAGCAGGCCCTCCAACTAGGAATTCAGTTGGGCGAATTCCAAAGCTACTCGCACACTGCGATTTAAATCATATTCCAGGACCCGCGTCAAAACCACGTGCTTTCCAAATTCCGGAGTGTTTCGGCTCGGTCCTGTGTCCTGGGGCAGTCCAACTCACAAGCAGAGTGAGAACTAGGGAGGGCTGTTGCCCAGCGAGTGGTGATGCTGCACTGAGCTCAGGCACGCCCTCGTTGGCACTGCAGCCATTGGAGTCACACCTCTCCTGAAGATGGACATGGCCGCTTACTCTGCATTCACAGGAGCTGTTGCCATTAATTTTGCTTCAGCTGCCGCACTCGTATGTGCAAGGAAATGCACAAACCAAGACACCAAGAAATCAGAAAGATACCCTTGCCTTGAGCACCCGCAGCTCCTGAACCTTAGCCCTCCCAAACCTGACCAGCCATTGAGTGTGCTACCACTCCCCCACAGACCAGCAATCGAGTGCACCGAGCGTTTGGTGTCCACGTCAGTTTTAGGCATTGTAGTCACGTTGTAAGAATGTTGTGTCAACATCTTCAACCAGAAGCGTGACCTTTGTGGTCTTGCGCCTCGTTATGCAGAAGCCAGTCGGGACCAGTACGAACAGTAATTTTGTCAGTGGAGCGAAGAAGATGAGGTACTTAAAGTCCACATTTGCAAGTTTACTGCTGGTCAAACAAGCAAACTGCAAGCCATGCCGTTCTGCAAGCACCCGCTCTCCTCCAAGATAAGATCTCAAAATCATACACGTGGACTGGCTTTGAACCATGGACTATAATGGTGGCCGCCTTATGATACCTCCCTCAAAACAAGACAAGGTCAAGCAAGCCCCAGCTTCAGATAGGCGACCGTAACCCCACGAACTGCAAGAACAACTGCAAGGTGCGTGCGTACGTGCGTGCGCGTGTGCGTACGTGGGAGGGTGGGTGGGTGGGTGGGTGGGTGGGTGGCCGGAAGAATGCCGAGCGTTTCAGCTGTTTGCCTAAGGCACCAGTCAAGCCAACCCCAGCCAAACCCAAGCCGCTTGTTTGTGGTTGCACTGCGCCCGCAAAGCAGCACGCCCATCACCTCCAACAAACTTTTCAAATGCAAATTGCTGCAAAATAGATGGAAACCTACCCCAAGTTCGCAGCAACGAAGCACGCCGTGCACCCACACAGAACAGGTGCTCTCCACAGTTGCCGAGAGAAAATTGAGAGACATTTGCACCCGCGATAGCAGCGGAGTCGTACCTGCAACCGAGAATGCTGCTCATACACCTCATGCTTGGACATTCTGAAGTTGATGCTGATGGGAGGGTAGGGTCTGCGAGCTGCTTGAGTCTGTGTTCCGCGAGGTGAGGGAATTGGTTACACTGCGGGACTTCTCAGGCAACATCACAGGCCGCAAAGCTGGAACCCCTTGCTGCTTTCGGCATGATGCACGTTTGCAGCTACAGGTGCCGTGGAGGTCACCATGCAGATGTTCATGAGCAATAAGCCTTCTTTGGCGCGGATCAGCACATCGGCCCGCTGGGATTTGAAACCCGCAGTGGACAGTGGGAATGTTTGATGAGTCTGTGCTTGATATAGGAGAGGGATCAGACAAACTGGGCTGGGCAGGAACAACTTGTGCTGCAAAGGGCATGGGCCACCACTGAAGCTGTTGCTGCTAAACAGCCTGAGGCTCAAGGCACATCAGCACAAGAGGCCCCCCCCCCTCAAGCATCAAGCAAAAGCAAGAAAGGTGTTCATGTAAATCAGCGATGAAGAGCAAAACCTTGCCAGGCACTCTCTCGTGCTCCAAGAGAGCAATCGAAAGCATTAACAGTAATGGCCAGGCCGGCAATCCGCTTGAGATCTTGAAAGACAAGGAAGTCACAGGTGTTGTGGCTTGGTGGCATGGTCGAGACCAGGGATGACACCCCTTGGGCAGACGCGTGCCCAAGCCCTCCAGCATTTCCCGACTGGACACTTGAGTTGGAGCGGGTCAGCCATGGCAATAGACGAGAAGCTCGGCCTTAGGTCACCTTTGGGCGGCTAACCTACGAGAATGCAGCTTCGAGCAATTGGCCTGGACCTTGGTGGATGAAATCTCCGGCATGGCTTTGCCCCCTTGAGCGCTTGGAGTCAGGTCCAGCTTCTTCGTCCGCTTCTCTTGGTTTGACACAGACGGTCGAATGGACAACTTCTCTCCGAATCTTGCATCCAAACCGAGAGCTGCTTCCGGGGCTCACGCAGCAAATTAGCAGAAGTTGCAGTACCTGTCCTCGTTCCGAGTGTCGGGGAGTCAGGAACGCGCTTGCAGAGGATTTGAAGACACTCGGCAAGCATTGGCAACATTAGCGGACATGTCGAAGTAAGTCAGTTTGCTCACTTCCCACGATCCATGAAGTGATGCAGCAGACATGCGGCGATGGATGTAGCCAAGAATCTAAGAGCTAGTTGCAGAGACCGAGGTATACCTTTGAGTTCAAGCAGATCTGCAGCCACCGAGCTGCAAGAAGCTACAACAAGGGCAAGCACGACAAAGCCATCCAAAGCCGTCCTTCCTTGCTTTCCTAGGTGAGGGCTTCCTGAAGTTCTTGGAAAGCGGCGTGATGGCCATCCAGGCCGACGTGATGCATCACATCACGTCCATTCCAGAAATTTCCGGTAGCTGCATCCACTGCACTCGACTACGTCGAAGCCCTGCAGTCTCGAAACGCCCTCCAGGTGCGTGCCTACGAGAAGGGCGTCGCTGCTGGAGAGTTGGAGCTGGCACTCCGGCAAGATTCGGTGCAGGGCTTGCTGGGACTGCCAATGTTTTTGAAGAGGTGAAGCAGAAGCTGAAAGCCACACAGGACCCACGCTGGAGGTTGGAGGTCACGATTGTCACAGTTAGCTCCATTCATGTACCGAAGTTGGCAGGATGAATTGAAGCGACTAAAGGATCTCATGGCAGAGGTCGGCTCGCCCCCCTGCTTGTTTTTCAGATGTCAATGTGTGTTTTCAGATTGTGCTTCTGTGCTTCTGCAGGAGCGAGCAGTCTTTGAGGAGGAGCTCGAGGATGGGAGAGCGAAATCTTGCAAAGGGAGGGGTCTTCTCATTCAGCTTCTCTGCTCCAGGCAAGAGTGGAAGCAGCCAAAGCCGAGGACGCGTGGATGGACACGTATTTGGGCTACTCCCCACGCCTCTCACGGACCTTGTGTGCGCTTTTTGTTCGCCACGTCACACACAAACTGAAGGAACGGGCGCGGTGCGATGCGGAAACTGAGGACAGAGACCTGTGCTGGGCTGTTACACAACAGCATAGTGACGCATGTAACAACTTACTCGTTTCAAGTTCATCCCGCCTCCAGGAGAGACTTGCGCAAGTGAGGGCAACAAAGGAGGACGCGCTGAGAAGCCAGAGAGGGGCATCCCTTGCGTAGGCTTTGTCTTCGCATCGCATGACTGTGCATTGTAGGAGTCTGCTCCGGCTCCAGAGCATGGCGAGGACAGGTCCTCTTTCGATCCACTTCGCGCTTGCAGTTTCATCTGGCATTGCTTTCAGCCACTGTTCGGGTATTCTGCTGGTTTTTCTACAGTGCTTGGGTCACTTGCAGTCACTTGCCTGACAGGCCCGGCTCAAGCTTTCCCAGACTCGGCAAGCAGCACAGCAAGCTACCTATAAAAACAATGGAACATGCCGCTAAGTTGGCAGACCCTGATTCGGGCCTTGAGAATCCTATTTGTCGATCAACTGTCGGAAGGCATCTTTATCATTCTCACCGCCTCACCACGGTCCTGTACGCCTATGCGCCTTTGGACCCCTTCGCGTGTTCTTGTCATAGGCAGATTTGAGCAGCATGGAGTTGAAGGCAGTGCTGATGTCGATATGGGACCTCCCAGAATCCGACCAGCGCCAACTCCTACTAGAGCTCCTCCAGAAGTTTCCTCTTGCTGCATCTTTGGAGGCTTGGTGCGACAAAGAGGATGTCCCAAAGTATACGGCCCCTCGGCCACAGTTCAAGTCCCACTGCTCTCGCATGCGCATCGGGCAGGGTGACGATAGCTCGGTTGTGGGATGCCCTTGGTGCCGCAGACCCGTGGCACTTGCGGCTTCAGTCGAGCCATCCCAGCCATCCCCATGTGCGAAGAGAACAACGAGACATGCATACACAACCCTGCTGTATGGCAGCGAGTGCGACAAATACTTCTTGGGCGCGCTGGTCGTCGCTGAAGGTCTGCGACAGTTTGCCAAAAGTTGCGCGGAGGATCATGTGCCCCTCTTGTTAATGCATACCGACGACGTTCCAGAGGCATACGTTGCTTCCTTGACAAAAGCTGGATGGGTCTGCAAAGAAGTGGGCTATCTTTACACCGGAGTTGCTCGGGCACTCTTCAAGAATTTCCGCACGAGCCGCTTCCTCAGTGTCTTCACAAAGCTGCGTGCCCTTGAACAAGTCGACTTTGAAAAAGTCCTCTTCCTTGATTTGGACATACTTGTCCGTGGTAACCTTCGAGAACTCTTCGAATTGCGAGCACCTGCTGCAATGAAGCGTGGTGAACCCGTGATGAAGCATGGTGACTTGATTCCCTACTCTGTTCTGTGGGGGCATCCTACGCGAAGGGCAAAAGATGAATTGCCACAACATCAACAGGCTTCGGGTATCAATGCCGGGGCCTAAGTGAAGACGGAATCTGTAGCGAAAGCTGATTTTTGAACCTTTGCCCAGCTAAGTTTGCGCTGCTCAACCAACTAAGGCGGGGGTCATGTTGCTCAGGCCCGACCAGGCTGTTTTCGAAACAATGGAGGCCGAGATTCACGACTACGACCACCCTGAGCACTACGAAACCTACATGCCAGAGCAGGAATACTTATCACGCTTCTACGGAACATTTGATATGTGGACACACGTTTCCTGCCAATACAATTTCGAGATTGACAAGAACGAGCGCATCCCTCATGATTTCTCGAAGGCTCATGAGAACATCCGGAATTGTGTTGGCCACAAAGGGGCGGTCGTTCTGCACTACTCGGGCACCTTGGCGGTATGTTGCGGTACTATTTTCTCGATCTGAGGTTCTTTTTCCGTGGAGACCTATCTAGCACCATAGCTTCTGCAGGCGCTCGCATCGCCCTAACACTTTCCCGCGTCTGCAAAGGTACATCAATCAAACCGTGGGACCTCCTCTACGATGGCGAGGCGCTACGCGTGAACTCGTTCGAGGATCTGCGCTCTTCCGGTCTCGGGTCCGTTAGTGCCGGGCGGGGGCGAGGAGACACATTTAGCTGGGCAGGGGCTATCGCAGAAGTCTTCGGAGTTGCAGTTTCAAGACGCAGGGAGTGAGGACCACCACCACCACCACTGCCTAATACCCGCTACCCGCTGCCTACTCCCTGCTACCACTGCCTCTTACCTACTGCCAACCAACTACTAACTACAACCTAACCTGCGAACTACTACACGCAACATGGAAGTCGACCTTTTTTCTTGCGGTAAGGCAAATCACAGCGGGGAAGCTTTTTAGGAAGTCGACCGAAACTGCGTTTCCCTCGGGCAGAATTGTCCACAATTCCACGCATGCGTGTTGTAAGCCATGTTGGCTATACGATGTGATATAGGTTCAGAGAAATGATTGCCTCTTCTTCGTAAGTTTTGGTAGGCTTAACTCCATGCTTTGCTTGCGTTTCACTCGGCCGGAGGTGCTTCAGCAACCATGTTGGATGATGTTTTCAGGCATGTTGAGCCCCAGCGTTCCTTGGGGATTTCGATACTTGCGTACTGATTTTCGCTGCTTTTCGTAGCAGTAAATCCATGCATTCATTGGGGGGAAAGGATCCCGCGGTCGACTTTGTCAACTTCCTGAACCCTCTGCGTTCATTGGGGGTTTCACGTGTCCCCCAATAAAAGGGTCGACTTTCCCGAGCCCCTGTATCTGCCATCTGTCAAATACTAACTACTAACTACTACTGCATAACAACTAGGTCCACGGTGCGTATTCCGCCGTGGTACGACAACAACAACTACTACGACTACTCCTACGTCTCCTCCTCCTACTACTACGACGACGACGACTAACAACAGCAACAACAACAACAACAACAACAACAACTACTACTACTACTACTACTACTACTACTACTACTACTACTACTACTACTACTACTACTACTACTACTACTACTACTACTACTACTACTAGTGCTACTACTACTACTACTACTGCTACGACTACTACTACGACTACTACGACGACTACAACTACGACTACGACAACGACGACGACTACGACGACGACGACGACGACGACTACTACTACTACTACTACTACTACTACTTCTACTACTTCTACTACTTCTACTACTTCTACTACTTCTACTACTTCTACTACTTCTACTACTTCTACTACTTCTTCTACTACTTCTACTACTACTTCTACTACTACTTCTACTACTACTTCTACTACTACTTCTACTACTACTTCTACTACTACTACTACTGCTACTACTGCTACTGCTACTGCTACTGCTGCTGTTATTCTTCTGACTACCACTGCTACTATACTATGACTACACAGCTACACCCCCGACCACCCCTCTAGATCCGACTGACCTAATGTTACGACGCTAGGACGTTGCCAGCCTACGTGAACGGCTTCACGAGGAAGGTCCGGGCGACCGGTTGAAAGATTACAACGATGGGGATCGCTTGTGGCAAGCGATGATGGAGTGGCTCACGCAGCTCGAAGAGGTGGTGAAGCGACTTTCCGTGGACGGCGTAAACGTTTTAGCGATTATACATCAACAAATTGAACGTGCTCAGGCACGGAAACGCGCCGCAGAGCATTCCAATGAAGAATCGCACAGCCAATATGATAACACGGGCACATGGTGGAACTGGAACTCTTCAGCACATGATGACCCATGTGGAGGACGAGGGTAGTGCAGGGTGGCTTTTGAAGCACTTGATTTGACATGCATGGCGAACCAATGCAAGTAATGCTAACAGTGGAGTTTTGTCGGGACTTCAACAATCGTAGCAGCTCTAGGAATGGATGGCTTGTGACCCTGCAGGATATGATGAGGTTGTTCGGCAAACCTCGGTTGCAGAGAAGAAGCGCAAGAAGAAAAAAACAAGCCATTGTGGTGAGGTTTGAGAAGTCGCTGAGAGCATCACATGCATGTAGATTCGAAGCCAAGTCGCCTCATGTTGATCAACCATTGCAGGAAGCGAAGCAGCCTCCACCGCCACCACAGCCATTGCAGCCCCAGCCAGCACAGCCACCTGCGCCGGCGCAGCCGGCGCCACCCAAGGAGGTGGACAAGCAGCCGCAGCCAGCGCAGCCGCGACCACCCTTGCAGCCGCTGCCACCGAAGGAGGCGACGGATAAATAGATGTGCAACGAGTGCTTTCCGGGTGTCGCCTTTGGTTGTGCAGCTAAACTGTTTAGGCAGCCCGTGATATGGCAGGTGAAGTCGGACGAGCCTTGGCTAGACGTTCGTGGCGGGTCACTGGAAGAGGCGCCCACCCGAGGAGGGTTTTCCTGAGGCCTAAGACAGTTCTAACACATTGCCGCTAGACTTGGTTCGCCTACGCCCTTCGGCAAGCTGTCAATGTTCGCCAAAGCTGTTGATACTGACGCCTGTGCAAGTCCAGCATTTGTGGTTGACATCCTCCACGTTGCATGAAATAGCAAGTTCCGACTTCTTTTCTGACAGGTTAAGGCTGAGCTTGTCAAAGCACGCGGGCAAGTCTTCAAGATTCTGCAAGACAAGGTCTTGGGATATGCTTTCGACCGAGTACCGTGCAGAACTCAAGCTCATCCACCTGCCCCTGCTTTGCAGGAGCAACTGCAGCACAAACTAACCCGAATCGAGGGCCGGCATGTGCCTTGGCGGTTTAGGGTTTAGGGTTTAGGGTTTAGGGTTTAGGGTTTAGGGTTTAGGGTTTAGGGTTTACAAGGTTCTTTGGTGAACAGCTGCTGTGATGCAGTTCTGGTCTTCTCGGGGGTGGGGCTGCGGAGTGGTTCGTCCAGCTGTGTGAGTGCCAAATAACTTGCGTGGATTACCATCCACGCACATACAACCCAGGATAAAACAAGAACAAGACACTTATAGACTAATTACATATGAATTGGTGTGCCTGGTGGGTTCTAAGATTTGGAAGAGGTACTGGTTGTTTGAGTCGGAGCCCCCACCTGTCTGGGTGTCCGCGGCATGAATGAATGATTATTCACCTCCTAGCACGCCTCGCAGTTTTCTTACTGCGATGCTTCACAACTTGATGAGCCCAAGAACCCAGCGCGACACCCCAACGCACATCATTAGGTGACATCAAAGACGCCAGACATCACGAGCACCCTCGTGATTGCTTGACGCTTTCGCAAGGCTAACCTTCCGGGTCACATCGACGAGGTTGATCCCTCCGAGGCTGTAGACGAAACTGCTGGGTTCAGAAACTCAGTCAGGGTGGATCTGATGCTATGAGACCATGTGAGGTCAAGAATTCAGAAGATCCCAATTCGGGCTTTACAGCGTGCCAGGTGAGACACGCGGACTTGGAGCAGGCTACGGGTTCGTTTCTTGAGCCACACAGACTGGATGGCTGTGGACGTTGGCTGTGGACGTGCCTCTTGCTTCGATCAGCCTGCATACCTGCCGAAGTCCTTCCACACCAGGCACACCAACACATCCTGTATTTGGAGATGAAGGTGAAGGCAGGGGAAGAATTGGAAAAGAAGAACGAGGACGGTTGAGAAACCATCTGTAGCACTGTAGCGAGCCAGCATGGGTCTCACGAGTAAGCAACATGCTTGCCCAAGCGTGGTCGAATCCAGCGCAAGTATCGCGGCACACAAGCATCGAGGGTGCAGCTCAGCTAGGAAAAAGGCAGCCCGGAGCAAGATGTCCTGGATTCGGCTTGTCTTCCAGGAGTTGGAGGGGCGGCTCAGGGATGCGCAGATGTCGGCAAAGCAGAGCAATGATCAGCCGGACCCCTACCTCGTAGGAAAGCCGTTGTGAAACTCCGCGGCGGCTGTGCGGTCGATGGCGTACCATGCAGGTTTTGTTGGGTCATGAGGCCCTTTTATGCACATCGTACCTTTGAGCACACATGTGCTTTTTGGGAAAGACTGTGCTGGGCCAAGGAAGCCGGCGGTTTGCGAAGTGATGTGAGCCCAGAATAGCGCGGAGACGTTACTCGTCAGTGCCACTGAGCTGACAATTGTCCATTGCGCCATTGCGCGACACCTTTATTTACTACCTGTGGGGCATATGCTGTAGAAGCAGTGCGAGCAGCTTCCTTGACATCGCCGAGTCTTCCCAGACGGGACAGACTTGCTGTCACCACGAACTTCAGCGGACAGTGTCGAGGCCGAAAACAGGCTTTGGCTGCCGGTTGTGGTAATTTGGGCCCCGCATGCTGCGATCTTTGCAGCTGCCGGACCCATCATAGACAAGTCACACTTCCCAGCTCACCACGATGTACCCGATGGTTGCAAATATTTGCAAATACAATTCTGCAGTGGATATCCTATGTCGTTAGCACGACGCAGCATGACGCAGCGACACGGCTCTTGCAAATGACAGCGGCGGTCGCAGCAAAAAGTTATTCGAGGCATGGATGAATCATAATTGCAACGACAGGCGTCGTAGGGACTTGCCAGCTTACATTTCCCTTGTGCGAGAGAAAGGTCGCCGGAAGATGCTTTGAGCCCAGACCTTGGACCCAGTCGAGAGCGCTCACATGACCCCATCCGACAAACATTACTGCATGTGGCTGAAGCCCTAAACATCCTCAGGCCCCGCAAACTACGAGGCAATCCTGACATACCGTGACTACAAAGACAGCAGTCTGCTCAAACCCACAATGCCGATTGCCGGGGTGTCCATGCAAGTTGCCAACCCTAGCCGCAGAGCGCCCTGAAATTGAACAGCGCAACATCACGCCATCCTACAAGACGTGGAAGCAACCTAGGCTCGTACTGTGCCGGCCTCAGACGAAAATCTGCGTTCGCCTGTTGAGCAGGTCGAAGCTTTGCCTGGCCTTTCCTTCAACTCCTCGGCCGCAGGACGGCCATGCCGGAGCACTTGAGTGAATCTGCAGGTGTGAAGACATGTTTGGTGCGCATTTTTTCCGCCAGTTTACGCCAGTCACATGTACACACCCACTTCTTTAAACATGTGCCCAGAGCCATCCAAAAGCCCAAAGAGGACGCCCTTGCTCCTCGGAGCGACCAGCTTTGGCGGTGTCCTCAGGGCCTTTTTTGTACTTTGCGGGCTTTGGCAGTTTGAGTGGAGGCACAATTGTGAGCAGTGATGCTCATGCATGATGCTGGCTTGGTGGCCCTTGCTCGGGCAAAACCTGAGATGCTGATGCTCATGATGTTTGCTTGGTGACCCGTGCTCGGGCAAACCCTGAGCAGCTGATGCTCATGATGCTCACTTGGTGGCCCGTGCTCGGGCAAACCCTGAGCAGGTGATGATCAGGATGCTTGCTTGGTGGCCCGTGCTCCTCGGGCAAACCCTGAGCAGCTGATGCTCATGATGCTCGCTTGGTGGCCCGTGCTCGGGCAAACCCTGAGCAGCTGATGATCATGATGCTCGCTTGGTGGCCCGTGCCCGGGCAAACCCGGAGCAGCTGATTCTCGCTTGGTAGCCTGTGCTCGGGCAAACCCTGAGCAGCTGGCGTGCTCGGGCAAACCCTGAGCAGCTGATGCTCATGATGCTCGCGTGGTGGCCTGTGCTCGGGCAAGGTGATGCTCATGATGCTCGCTTGGTGGCCCGTGCTCGGGCAAACCCTGAGCAGCTGATGCCCTTGATGCTCGCTTGGTGGCCGGTGCTCGGGCAAACCCTAATGCTCGCTTCTCATGATGCTCGCTTGGTGGCCCGTGCTCGGGCAAACCCTGAGCAGCTGATGCTCATGATGCTCGCTTGGTGGCTCGGTCTCGGGCAAACCCTGAGCAGCTGATGCTCATCATGCTCGATTGGTGCCGTGTGCTCGGGCAGACCCTGAGCAGCTGATGCTCATGATGCTCGCTTGGTGGCCCGTGCGCGGGCAAACCCTGAGCAGCTGATGCTCATGCTGCTCGCTTCTCGGGCAAACCCTGAGCAGCTGATGCTCATGATGCTCGCTTGGTGGCCCGTGTTTGGGCAAACCCTGAGCAGCTGATGCTCATGATGCTCGCTTGGTGGCCCGTGCTCGGGCAAACCCTGAACAGGTGATGCTCACGATGCTCGCTTGGTGGCCCGCGCTCGGGCAAACCCTGAGCAGGTGATGCTGATGATACTCGCTTGGTGGGCCCGGGCTCGGGCAAACCCTGAGCAGCTGATGCTCATGATACTCGCTTGGTGGCCCGTGCTCGGGCAAACCTTGAGCAGCTGATGCTCATGACGCTGGCTTGGTGGCCCGTGCTCGGGCAAACCCTAAGCAGCTGATGCTCATGATGCTCGCTTGGTGGCCCGTGCTCAGGCAAACCCTGAGCAGCTGATGCTCATGATGCTCGCTTGGTGGCCCGTGCTCGGGCAAACCCTGAGCAGCTGATGCTCATGATGCTGGCTTGGTGGCCCGGGCGCGGGCAAACCCTGAGCAGCTGATGCTCATGATGCTCGCTTGGTGGCCCGTGCCCGGGCAAACCCTGAGCAGCTGATGCTCATGATGCTCGCTTGGTGGCCCGTGCTCGGGCAAACCCTGAGCAGCTGATGCTCCTGATGCTCGCGTGGTGGCCTGTGCGCGGGCAAACCCTGAGCAGCTGATGATCATGATGCTCGCTTGGTGGCTCGTGCTCGGGCAGACCCTGAGCAGGTGATGATCATGATGCTAGCTTGGTGGCCCGTGCTCGGGCAAACCCGTGCTCGGGCAAACCCTGAGCAGCTGATGCTCATAATGCTCGCTTGGTGCCCCGTGCTCGGGCAAACCCTGAGCAGGTGACGCTCATGAGCATCAGCTGCTCAGGGTTTGCCCGAGCACGGGCCACCAAGCGAGCATCATGAGCATCAGCTGCTCAGGGTTTGCCCGAGCATGGGCCACCATGGTGGCCCGGGCGCGGGCAAACCCTGAGCAGCTGATGCTCATGGTGCTCGCTTGGTGGCCCGTGCTCGGGCAAACCCTGAGCAGCTGATGCTCATGATACTCGCTTGGTGGCCCGTGCTCGGGCAAACCCTGAGCAGCTGATGCTCATGATGCTCGCTTGGTGGCCCGTGCCCGGGAAAACCCTGAGCAGCTGATGAGGCAGCTGATGCTCATGACGCTCGCTTGGTGGCCCGTGCTCGGGCAAACCCGTGCTCGGGCAAACCCTGAGCAGCTGATGCTCATGATGCTCGCTTGGTGTACTCGGGCAAACCCTGAGCAGCTGATACTCGTGACGCTCGCTTGGTGGCCCGTGCTCGGGCAAACCCTGAGCAGCTGATGCTCATGATGCTCGCTTGGTGGCCCCTGCTCAGGCAAACCCTGAGCAGCTGATGCTCATGATGCTCGCTTGGTGGCCCGTGCTCGGGCAAACCCTGAGCAGCTGATGCTCATGATGCTCGCTTGGTGGCCCGTGCTCGGGCAAACCCTGAGCAGCTGATGCTCATGATGCTCGCTTGGTGGCCCGTGCTCGGGCAAACCCTGAGCAGGTGATTCATGATGCTCGCTCGGTGTGCTCGGGATACTCATGACGCTCGGTGGCCCGTGCTCGGGCACACCCTGAGCAGCTGATGCTCATGATGCTCGCTTGGTGGCCGCGCTCGGGCAAACCCTGAGCAGCTGATGCTCATGATGCTCGCTTGGTGGCCCGGGCGCGGGCAAACCCTGAGCAGCTGATGCTCATGATGCTCGCTTGGTGGCCCGTGCTCGGGCAAACCCTGAGCAGCTGATGCTCATGATGCTCGCTTGGTGGCCCGTGCGCGGGCAAACCCTGAGCAGCTGATGCTCATGATGCTCGCTTGGTGGCCCTTCCTCGGACATACCCTGAGCAGCTGATGCTCATGATGCTCGCTTGGTGGCCCATGCTCGGGCAAGACCTGAGCAGCTGATGCTCGTGATGCTCGGGCAAACCCCCGTGCTCGGGCAAGCCCTGAGCAGCTGATGCTCATGATGCTTGTGATGCTCGGGCAAACCCCCGTGCTCGGGCAAACCCTGAGCAGCTGATGCTCATGATGCTCGCTTGGTGGCCCGTGCTCGTGCAAACACTGAGCAGCTGATGCTCATGATGCTTGCTTGGTGGCCCGTGCTCGGGCTGATGCTCATGATGCTCGCTTGGTGGCCCGTGCTCGGGCAAACCCTGAGCAGCTGATGCTCATGGTGCTCGCTTGGTGGCCCGTGCTCGGGCAAACCCTAAGCAGCTGATGCTCATGATGCTCGCTTGGTGGCCCGTGCTCGGGCAAACCCCCAGCAGCTGATGCTCATGATGCTCGCTTAGTGGCCCGTGCTCGGGCAAACCCTGAGCAGCTGATGCTCATGATGCTCGCTTGGTGGCCCGTGCTCGGGCAAACCCTGAGCAGCTGATGCTCATGATGCTCGCTTGGTGGCCGAGCAATGCTCGGGCAAACCCTGAGCAGCTGATGCTCATGATGCTCGCTTGGTGGCCTGTGCTCGGGCACACCCTGAGCAGCTGATGCTCCTGACTCATGATGCTCGATTGGTGGCCCGTGCTCGAGCAAACCCTGAGCAGCTGATGCTCATGATGCTCGCTTGGTGGCCCGTGCTCGGGCAAACCCTGAGCAGCTGATGCTCATGATGCTCGCTTGGTGGCCCGTGCTCGGGCAAACCCTGAGCAGCTGATGCTCATGATGCTCTTGGTGGTCCGTGCTCGGGCAAACCCTGAGCAGCTGATGCTCATGATGCTCGCTTGGTGGCCCGTGCTCGGGCAAACCCTGAGCAGCTGATGCTCATGATGCTCGCTTGGTGGCCCGTGCTCGGGCAAACCCTGAGCAGCTGATGCTCATGATGCTCGCTTGGTGGCCCGTGCTCGGGCAAACCCTGAGCAGCTGATGCTCATGATGCTCGCTTGGTGGCCCGTGCTCGGGCAAACCCTGAGCAGCTGATGCTCATGATGCTCGCTTGGTGGCCCGTGCTCGGGCAAACCCTGAGCAGCTGATGCTCATGATGCTCGCTTGGTGGCCCGTGCTCGGGCAAACCCCCAGCAGCTGATGCTCATGATGCTCGCTTAGTGGCCCGTGCTCGGGCAAACCCT